GTCTGTCTCCTGTCACTGGAATGAGAACTCCATGGTAACAGGGACTTTGTGTTTTTCCTCATTGCTGCCTCACCCATTCCTGGAATGGTGCGTGGTACTCAGACGTTTGTTGAATGAATAAGTGATGAAGGTTCCCTCACCCAGTGCTTGGCATATAGTAGGAGCTCAATAAATGTCGGCTCTCTTTCTTTGCCTTTCTCAGTGATGAGCTTAAACTTTAGAGCTGAAGATAAGACCGTATGAGATGGATTTTTTTGGATTTAGTTAAGCCACTTGGATCTTTTTACATCCAAATAACTACACACTGCAGAGCCTAAGAGAAAATGAATTCTCCTTTTATGTTTAATCAATTTGTTCCACATAAAGTATGTCTAGGGTGATAAGAGCAAGTGTTAGAAAAAAAATAAGCACTAGAACAATTCAAAGAGTTTGCTTATTAGTTCTTGCCTTCGCTAGCACAGCTTGCCTCGAAAGGAGCTGACTGGAGAGAAAGAGCCACATTTTCTTTGCAGGCGAGAACATCACAATTAAAGTTTCTTTAATGACCCCTATGTGAACCTTGCTACTGAGAGATGCATGGATGGGAGCTATTTCCCTCCGCTGCATGGCGGATGAATCGCACGGAGATGTTTCTTGGCTGTAATGAAAAGCACCTCGCATAGAGCACGTGCTCTGGGAGTTTGTGGGGACCTGGGCCCAGTGGGAAGGGGGATCAAGAGAGTATATGACAAGAAAGGATGTTGGACCTGAGATTTCCAAATTAATAGACACGGACTAGACCAGATGGTGGATGGGAAGGTGGTGCAGAATGTAAAGTGTGGGCAGCGGGAAGGGCAGTTTGGAAAACTGGACCTGGTGCGTAACATTTCTCTGCCACTATGGAGACCCCTCCCTCTCTGTGCCTCAGTTGTCCCGAATGTAATAAGAAGCCTTGGATAAAATAATTCTTTAAAGTTCTATCGAGACAGGAATTCTGTTTGATATATAGAGCCCCCTGTTTCTTTTCCTCTCCCTTCCTATGCCCTTCTTTCCCCACCAAGTTAATTTTCCTTTTCCTTTCTCCTGTGGATCTTCCCTGCCCCCTCCCGTTTTTTCTTATTTAGGTGTCAAGTCACAAAGGGCAACAGAGAACGTTATTTAATGTCTCCGAGAATGCTTGGTGCAGAAGGAATGGCAGATTGCTGCACTAGTATTTATCCTCAAATTTAAATAGGGAGAATGAAAATTTTAGAGACAGAATAGTAAGTGGGCACACTAAATCCCATGGTGGTAAAAAAGGAAAAATTGAGTTCTATAGTAGCAACATTTGGTAAAGAGGAGAATTTTATTGGGTGGATAGTCACTCTGCAATTAGTCACTCTGTTAATATAATCACTAACACTACGTGGGGCGTCGGAGTATGCTACCCCCAAACACGCTGCTTTGGTGTAAGGATTATTTTGAGCTGGAGGCAATACAGAAACGGTAGATGCAAGCAAAGGTCTTTACCTGCCCCTTTCTGCCTACGTGTAGGGCACGAGTTTCCTTTGTGAAGGTGACCCATTCCGTCTCCCACATCAGGAAGGGAGAAGACTCTTACCCTGGAGATGGTGCTAACCTGAATCTATATAAGCAAACCTCACTGAAATAACCCTTAGTTCCCTGTGGTTTTCCCTGTATATTTTACCTTTCTACAATTTACCACCCCTAAAAGCCCAAATCCTTTTCCTTTGTCTTGTCACTTCTCTGCAAATTTATTGCTCTTTGTTAAAATGATATGTAAGCTTTCAGGCCTTACTGCTTCTTTTGGTTTTCACTCCCTTTTCTATGAGATCCCTTAGGTACATGTAAAAATAAAAATATCAACATCAATATAATCTGTATGCCTTTTCTCCTATTAATCTGCCTTTTATCAGTTTAATTTGCACAGCCCTAGTCATTGAACCTAAGAGGATAGAGGAAAAGGGGCTCTCCCTATATTCCTATACTATCCTCCAAAATTCTCACAACAAGGTATCATTAGTAGCCCCAATTTTTAGATGGGAAAACTGAGGCTCCAAGAGGACACCCAGCTAGCAAGTAAAAGCAGGCTTGGATGCCTGGTGGCGAGACCCCAGAATTCATGCATCCTTCCCCCACGTTGGCTGACCCCAGATCTGCCGCATACTGACTATGTGACAGTGACTCAGTTGCTTCTTGTCTGGGCCTCACTTTCCCCATATGATCCCTGCATTCCCTCCACTAGCTCTGTCCGATCTGGTCACAAGCCCTTGTTCTTTCCCTGCATCTGAAGTCACCACTGGACCAAGGAGGAGAAAAGAGCAGGAAACATGGTACCTCTGTGGGAGATGCTCTGAGCTGTTTCAGTGACTGGGAGTATATTCGACTCAAGGGCAAGTGGAGGACAGGCTGAGCTTGCTGTACTGGGGTAGAGAAAGAAGGGAGTAAATTTGGAATGTATGACTATTTCTAGATTTGCAAGGAGAACAATAAAAATCAGATGTTGCAGTGGGGAAAAGAAACCTCCCATTCTCTCTGGGCCAGATTTACATGCAGGGAGTAGTTTTGGCAAGGGAAGAGCCTGCGTTTGTTAAATATTAAATAAGAAAAAAATATATTAACACTTTGGCTCATTCTTCACATCTGTCTCTTCGTTACACTGATACTTGATTCTAGGAGAATTATTTTACAGACAGTGGTAAGCCTCCAGAAGGTTTGCCCAAAGTAGACTTGTAAGCAGGGTTCCTCCTCTGCTTGAGAATGCTGGAGTGGGGTGGGGAGGGTGCAGCAGACTCCTGGTATTTCTTGGCATGCCGCCCTCCTCCTCTCCCCTCAGCCTGGGTCTTCCCCCAGGAAGAGGAACGTGCTCTCAAAAGGGAAGGCCAGATGCAAGAGTGAAATTGTACATGTCAAAGTCCGATATCTTAGGGCTGGTTCCTCAGAGGGAGGAGAAGTAGGCTGCATCACCCCGAAGTCCTGCAAGGTCAAAGTGAGGCTAGTGGGCCCAGGGAAGCGTCTGAATCTGCCTGCAGAGCCGGAGGCACCAGGAGCGCCTGGGAGGCAGATGGGAAAGGGTGAAGCTTGGCTTGGAGGATGGCACAAAAGCGTGGCAACAAGTTTCTGAAAGCGTGAGGTTCAGGTGCCATAAATAATCCATAAAGATATTAGTGCTTGTCTTACTTGTCATCCATATTTAAAATGCACTGACGCCTCCTCCACTGTTCCATGTGGCGCTACCTGCAAAGTGTGCGGAGCACACCCCGACCAGTGCCCCTCCAGATGTAATTTTGCTGAATTAGCAGTCATATTTTGTTTTCTGTTTCTTATAGAAATGCTTACAAAATATCCCTAAACAAAGAAATACTTAACTGACATTTTAAAACACAAACTGCATGCCAAATAAAGGGCAGGATGTTAGGAGCTCTTTAATAAATGCATACATTTTAAAGGTCTAAATGTACACACTCATTTCAAGTACATTTTATAAAATAATGATTTTTTTTATTAAAAAAATCAGACTGCTTTGAATAATTGTACAAAAATAATTCAGAGGCATAATAAATCTTTAACATACCCTCTTCTGGCACACTGTTTCTGAAAGTCCCAATTTGAAGATTACACTTAATGGAATTGTCTGTCAATTTCAATCATTGTCATCTGGGGCAGATGGCTCTCTGTGCATTTAATATGCAGAAAAGCCCTGGCCTCCCCTGCCCGTGAGTTAGCCTCCTGACAACTCACATTGTGACGGGTACTTTTCTTCCTAGAGAACTGTTTCTCTTAAACACCAGACTTCATGTGTCATTACAAATAAATATACCCAGAGATCAATTTTTTATCTTTAATTTGTTCACCTCACGCATCCACATTTGAAGTGGCGCTCACCCGGGGTTTGCGGCCAAGACGCTGCATCGGGAGACCGCAGAGCCCGCGCGCGCCAGGGCGCTGAGGCGGGAGGACAGGACTCCCGGCAGCAAGCGCAGGCTGCGCTGGGGAGCTGCCCCTTTCTCGTGCTTGGCTCCTGGGTGCAGGGTTCCCTCCAAGAAGGGAGTGCCCCAGTGGCCCAAGTCACCGCATAAACCCGGCTCATGTGGATGGGGCATGTTCCCCAGAATTCTGCCCACATCCTTTTCACGTTAACCCAGCGTACGTCCAGGGTAAGCAGAAGAAAAGGAACACAAAGAACATGGTCTTAATTCTCACTTTGATGGCCCCTAGGCCCGATGGAAGACTTCTACGAGGAAAACTTGCTGCCATTTCAACACATCCTGCCCACCTCCTTCTCTACACGGCGCCCGTCTGTGGGGATCCGCCGGGCGCCCGGGAGCGCCTGCCCCGCCCGCCGCCAGCCGCGGCCTCACGCGCAGGTGCGGCCCCGGCCGCCGCCCCACGCCGCCCCACGCCGCCGCCCACGCGCCGCGCCGCCGCCCACGCGCTCGCCACCGCCCTGCGCCCCACGCCGCGCCCGCGCCCAGGCCGCCCCACGCCGGCCGCCCGCCGCCCACGCCGCCCACGCCGGCCGCCCGCCCCGCGCCCAGCCGCCGCCCCACGGCGCCCATCCCAACGCCGCGCCCGCCGCCCCACGCCGCGCCGCCGCCCCACGCGCCCGCCGCCCGCCGCCCCACGCCGACGCCCGGCGCCCACCCGCCCCGCGCCCCACGCCGCAGCGCCACGCGCCGCCCGCCGCCCCACGCCGCCCACGCGCCACGCCCCACGCCCACGCGCCGCCGCCGCCGCCCACGGCGCCCACGCCTGCCGCTCGCCGCCCCACGCCGCCGCACAGCGCCGCCGCCGCCGCGCCGCGCCCGCGCGCCCAGTCGCGCACGCCGCCGCACGCCGCCGCCCCACGCGCCGCACGCCGCCGCACGCCGCCACACCCGCCGCGCACGCCGGCCGCACGCCGCCCACGCCGGCGCACGCGCCGCTCGCCGCCCACGCGCCGCCCGCACGCCGGCGCACGCCCCCCACGCCCGCCGCCGCCCCACGCCGCCCCACGCCGCCGCACGCCGCGCTCGCCGCCCCACGCCGCCGCAGCCCGGGCGGGCGGGCGGGTTCATCACGCCTCTCAGAATGACTGCGGCTTAAAACTCACGGATTATTCACCCCTGGGATTTGCCATTGAGTGCTGTGGACTGCTGCTGACCACAGGTAACGGAAACTGCTAACACAGAGCAGTGGGAAGGGGACCACCGTGTATCAGAGCTAAGTGTGCGGTGTCGTCTGTGGATCTGTGTGACGGTGACGTAGTACCAAAAACGGGTTTTGGAGCCATAGGCCTCAAGTTTGGGTCTAGTTGCTCCTGGGGGGGGACTAGAGTTAAGGCAGAGAAGGCGGCTCTGGGCTCTGCCCGGCTGGCTTCCATTCCACCTCAGCGCCTAGGGTGGCTTGCTGTGCGCTTGGCCTCTCTGCACCTCTGTTTCCCCAGCTGTGAGCGGTGAGGGTAAGGCCATGTGAGGGTCAAATGAGACAAGGCACGTAACATGCAGGAGCACCTGAGCAACGCTGGTCAGAGGCGACAGGTACGTGCCGGGCCTCGCGAGGCACCTGGCATTTCATAGCAGTACAAAAAATAATGGGTGAATAAATTAATGAATACAAAATATAAGACGAACACCATAAACTCTTTCAATTTTCGATTGTAAAAATCGAGCACCGTGCACCGTGTATGTGCAGTTCCAGTGCTGAATTTAGGTTGCTTAGCCTCTCAGCCTAAGCTTTCCCAGTTATAAAAGTGGAAATGACAACATTGCCCACCTCACATGACTGCTGTGATGAGATGCCACCAGCAAAGCACGGAGCCTGTTTGTGGTCACGATGAAACATGGCAGTCATTTACCTGCTACTCAGAGCTCCGCACAGCCGCGCTCCTGTGCACGGTTCACTCACCAGCCGCCACCGCGGGCGGTGAGCAGAGGAGGGGCGCGGGGCCATCGCCTGCTGAGGCCCTGCCAGACAGAAACTATGATTCTGAGACGACCATGTGAGTCCAGAGGGGAGCAGAGTTTGATTTACAGAAATTTAATTTGCATGCGGCGTCGTCTTACTGGGTGGAGCCGCCTGCACACGGTTCCTCCGAGTGGTGGTGCCCTGTGTGTGACCCCGCGCTAAGTCACAGATGCATCTTCATTAGTGATCAGAGCAGTATTAGAAATGGGTAAATTGGATCATTTAATATCGTTGCTTTTACCTCCAGAAAAAAAGAAACTGAGGTATTTTTTCCCCATTAGAGTTAATAGGACTTGAAAGGCTAGATTTGCATTAGGAAGGCAAAAGCTTCCATATAACTCCCATCTCTCCAAAGAGGAGCTGAGGATGGACAAGCAGGAAACCTGGTGGCCACGGTCACCGTCTTCCCAGGGTGAAACCTGGTCCCTGTGGACGCAGCTTCTCTGCTCTTTGGGAGTCGAGACCTCGCAGCCCGGGAGGACTTTCCTGAGTTGCCAGCCACGCCCCTCTCTCGACTGAGGCTCGTGCCCTGCAGGAAGGCTCCCTGCTGTCCCCCAGCCTGGTCAGGCTGCGCCCGCCCCCTCGGGCTGCTCTTGCACTCAGCTTCCAGTGCTTCCCCCAGACACAGCCTAAGGCAAGAATGTGCGGAGAGCTTTCCTTGGAGGCGACCCCTGGGAGGAGACGCGCTGAGTGAGACGTGTGGAGGCCGCCACCACGTGCGTGGGGCCTGGCTCCACCAGGACCTCCCGAGAAGCCTGCAGGAGGCTTTCCACGGCGGTCCGCCTGAAGCAGGGATGGAATAAGCAGTAGAGCCTCCTGTCTCTCCATTGGTTGTAGGTTTCTCTGGGGACATTGCCTCACACTCAGGGGTGCCACTTGGGTTTGGATCCAGTGGAACCCCAGGGCCTCAGAGAAGACCTTGTGCAGAAAGAAAGCCTGTGAGTGCTGAGGGAGAGCCAGCCAGCAAGAGGCGAGCTGGGGCTGCCCAGGACCATACGCCCAGCTGCTGCCGACATCGAAGGGGGGCCGGAAATGGGAAAAGGAACACTCAAGGCACCTGCTTCACAGCACATGGCAACTAAAAGAGGTCAGAGTAAGACCAGACAGCCAGCTGTGCAGTAAGATAAGGCTTGACTGGTCTTGGGAATTGCAATTCGGGAGACACAGATTCAGCTACCATGTTCCCGAAAATAAGACAGGCTCTTGTATTTATTTTTCCTCAAGAAGACACCCTAAGGCTTATTTTCAGAGGTTTTTTAAGTACAGTACAACAATCTACATTTATTCAAATATAGTTAAGTCGTCTTCTTCTGGAACATCATCCTAACTCTCCAAACCCCGAATTCCATCCTGAATTTCTTGCGACTCTATTTCCTTTAGAACCATCGGCCCTGATCTCTCCTGTCGAGCACTAGAGCTCTCACGGGGCGGATGAGAAGGGCTGCTCGTGTTCTTTCCTGCTCCGCGACGACATGCACGGGTTGTGCAGATGCTGCGCAGCCACACCCGTCACTAGATCTTATTTTCGGGGTGGGGCTTCTATTGCCCACATGCTTAGAAAGCCTGCTAGGGCTTATTTTATCGGTAGGTCTTATTTTCGAGGAAACACTGTAGAAGCTGAACTGTGTTCCGAAGAGAGGGAGGGGAATATGGGTTTTAAAAGGAAGCTGAGGACCATCACGCAAGTTGTTTCGAAAGAATTATCATTGGAGGTGGCTGGCTTAGTACACGAGTCCATTGTTCATTGGTGGCTAGTAGTTTATTGGCGGCTATGATTCAGATGCTGGAGAGCTCGCGAAACTCTGCTGATTCCCAGTATGTCTCTGTACAGGTACTTTATCCCGGTTCAAGGGTTCAAGGCAAGTTCCTGGCGTTTTTGCAAGGTTGCCTCTCATGTAGTCGGTCCTTCTTAGAATGACTTCCCGACTCTACTGTAGAGCTCTGAACCAGAGTGGTGCAATTTTGTATATCACCTTTTATATAATAAAGGAAATTAACATTCATTGAGTACTCATATGTCATTCATTCACTACAAAACAAATAAATAATACAATTTAAGGTAGGGATATTCTACCAAAAAAAGCAAAAGGGGAGAGAGTGCAAAGATGGTATGTTTTATTTTAGAAAAAGCAGTTAGGGAAGAGGCAGAATTGAATAAAGTTAAGGGACGAGCCAAGAGAATGGTGGCGGTGGGTCTAGGGGGAGGTGAGAACATTCTAGCTGGAGGGACAGCAGCACAGTGGCCCTGAGGTGAGAGGAAGGTTTCTGTATTTGATCCGGCCAGTGCGACAGGCTGAGTGAGCAGGGGAGAGGGGCAGCCGAGGTGGCAGAGAAGGCGGGCTGTGCAGCCCTGTGGGGGCTGGGTCTTGCTCCATCTGCAGGAGGAAGCTGTCAGTGGGCAGTGATATTCGATGATACATTTTTCAATGAGTTTTTAAATCAAGCCTGTGCTGAATATTTTTTATGTTCAGATTTTCGTCCTTACAACTACCCTGTGAGGTTTTAGGGATGGGGAAGGTATTGTGTGACCTTCCCCAAGGTCACACAATTGTCATGCAGAGACAGGATTGCAAGGTGGGATTCTGGTCCCAGGCCCCAGATCCCCTGTCATTTTGCCCTTGGTCCTGAAGTTGCTTCTCCAGGACCGGGCCCTGCGTCCCAGCGGCACACTCGTCCAGGTCGGAGGCTCTTCTTCCCACACAGCATCTAGGCCTGAGTGACGGGCTGGCCTGGGCGGGTGCACCCTGGGGGCAGAGGGCCAGGCGCTGGGGGAAGACAGCTGTGACATTTTCCCTGATGTTGTCACTGCACCCTGTCCTCTGTGGTGCAGCTGTGTCTGCAGGCGTGTGGAGTTTCTGAGTCAGCACGCCAGACCACGTCTGCGCAGGGGGAGGGCCGCCAACCAGGAAGATTCTGCGGCCCCACGGCATGTCCACTTGCTAGACGAGCAAGAGACCAAGGCAGAGGAAGAAGGTAGCAGGGACTGACATTTTTCAGTTTTTCCATCTATAAAAATAAACAACACCAACAATTTGATTGGAGCCAATATTCTGACCTAGTAGTGGCCTTTTTCATCCAGTGTCTGAAAAGGAAGGTGTGAATTTTTTTCCTGCATTTAGAAGACGTTTCATTGGCCAGCAAGGACAGCGGGTCAGCTTACCCTTTAAAGGTGGCAACTCCAATTTAGAAGATTTAAGTTTGAGAAAATGTGCTTTCCACTAAGAGCCCAGGAGCAGGGTCATAAACTCTGCTGGCCAGCTCTGCAAGCGGAGAGGCCTGCACGGCTCCAATACAGGCGGGGGCTCAGCGGCCGCCGGGGCGGCTTGCTCCACTCCTGCTTTCAGGAAGAACAGCACCTGCTCGGAGAGGTGTCTCGCTCAAGGTACGAGACAGGTAGCAACTAAACAGCTCCAGAAAAGCTCACTGATCAAAGCTTCAATGTCGCAGCTTCCACAGCTTGCTGTCTTCAGAGGTCAGTGACAGGAGACCCAGAGCTAATTAGAATGAAAGGCCAGAGGCCAGGTATGATTCCCTGTGATCCAGGCCCCAGTAATGTAAAGAGAAGTGGACGGATCTTGCTGATTTTCAAAGGACAGGTGGCTCACACCTGTAATCCTAGCACTGTGGGAGTCCGAGGTCGGGGGATCTCTTAAGGCCAGGAGTTTGAGGTTGCAATGAGCTATGATGACACCACTGCTCTGTAGCCCGGGCAACAGAGCCAGACCTTGTCTTAATAAATAAATAAATAAATACTGATAGCAGGCATTCTTGACCCATGGGTAAAGCTAACACCAACTTCACCCAGTGTTATTAGTAAGGAATGCAATGCCCAAGAAGGAAATTCTAACAACATAAATAGGATTGAAATAAAGCAGCAGAGAGCAACTTTCTTTGGGATTTGGCTTCCAGGAGAAGAATCATGATGACACTCAAATTCCACTCAAAAACCTCACCAGGACAGTCCCTCCATTGAATGCACTAAGGAACTGATCCAAGGGAGACATTTGATCTCAACGTTGCGAGTCACTATGGCTTGAGTTGTGGGTGGCCTTTCTAGATCTCTGGGTGCATATGTAAGGATGGGGGCATGAGTTGGGGTCAAATTCTGGAGGCCTGACGAATTCTCTCAATAGCAGCAGAGTAACAGTAGTCCTCATTAGTAGTGACACTCAACATTTTCTGAGCACTCATGTGCCAGACACTGTGGTGAGTGCTGTTCATACCTTCTCACATCAATCTTCACAATGACTCTAGGAAGTAGGTTTGAACCATTAGCCCTGTTTTACAGATAAGGAAACTGAGACATAAATTAGCTTGATCAACTTTGCCCTAGGAGGTGGAGGCAGAGCTGGGATTTGACCGCCAGAGTGTGATTCCAGAGTGTGCTCTTTCAACTGCTAGGAAGGTCTCCTTCTCTCGGGCAGACACGCATGACCTGCAGGAATGGTGGCCCGAGGGTCACTGGCATCAGCTCATGCCTGACTGGAAAAGCCCCAGCAGTCTGGAAAAGGCCTGGGACAGGGACTGCAATAATTACACACAGATTCGCAGGCCATAGCAGTGGGGGACAATACCACACACACAATCTGCTTTCCCAGCTGCCTCAGTTGGGGACAGATATGTCAGAAACCCTAACCTGTCTGAACAAGGACTTGCGTGTGGGCAGGCTAGAGATTCGCCTTGGAGTCACTGTATCCCTTTAGCACTCTTCTACAGTCTCTTCTTCTGTCTTTACTGTCTCTGAGCCGTGGGCTTTTGTGGACAGACTTTCTGTATTCATTACATAAATTAGTTTGGGGAATGACTTTTAAAAAGCAATGGTAAGTGGGGGACACAGAGAACTAATGAACTGGTTAATAGTGAACTGACCAAGGTCAGAACACTTAGAACCAGAGGAAGATGATTCCTGTCTCCTCTTCCTGAAAACCCAAGTCAAGAGTGTCCCCATCCTCTGTAAAATATACCCTTCAAGTCAGACCTGCTTTGGGGGAACAGACTGGCCTAGATAATCTCTTCCGTTTGAGAAAAATTATAATTTGATTAAGATATTTTATATGCCTGATAGTGGCAGTTCATCTGCAGAAATGATTTGAGGTCTGGGGAAAATAACTACATTGAAAAAAGAGTTTCTTAGAAGTTGAAAAGGACAATGAGAATAAAACTTAATTAGGAGTACAGGCTAATGGAATTGAGGGGGAGGCAAGATGAATTCATTATATTAATAATCAACCTGAACTTGGGGAAGGGAAAGCAGATGGGAAGAAAAGAACGCATAATGCGTTATGTTTCATTTCTTCTGAATAAAGTGTAGTGTGCTGAAATGTAACGAGCTTATCCATCCTCTCCATCTGCTTTTGTCTAAATAAATTCAGGGTTTTCACAAATGTAATGAATTTTCAGCTTGTAATTTGCTGCCTCCAGTGTGCATGGTGCTGAGAAGACCCGAGATGCTCTTTGAAACTCATCTGTGCACGCCCGGGCCTAGGAAACGCCATTAAGCACCAGGGCCTCCCCAAGCACTAGCGGGCGTGGCAAGTCCTCGGGCTCTCAGCACGGGGCGCGTCCGCCTTGGCAGCTACCGGAGCGTTGCCCGGCAAGAGTGGCAGAGAGACACAGCGGTCTGGATGCAGATGGGGCTAGAGCTGCAGGGCGGCTCTCTTCGTCTGCATACTCAGAGTGAGATGAAAATTTGAGAATTTTCTTCCCGCCTCATTTGCCGCCCATTTACCTCTGCGTCTTTATTCACGAAGTCTTCTCTGCCAGGAATTCCATCTCTCCTGTACTGCTACTGTCCAAATCGTTAGTGTTTAAAACTCACTCATCGCAAAGCGCCTCCTTCAATGGCTTTACAACACACAAACTTACTTATCTTCTCCCCGCACTATTGCCCTTTTACTTGGTAAATTCAACCCTGCACTCAAGTAAGTTAATCCCCTGTATTGTTTCTTCTTGTTTATGTGGGAAAGTTTTGTATCCTTGAATATGATTCTAAATTCCTCCTCGTTCCTTCCTGTAACAATCTTTGTTGGATACTTTCTGTCAGCGAAGTTCTGTGCCTCGAGGCATCGGGACTCAATGGCAAGCAAAGTAGACATGGCCCTCAGACTCACAGAGCCAGAGGGCAAATGAGGAAGCCGTGTGAAATAGCACTCACTCACATAAATAGATAATTACAAAATTTCATGCATCAAATCTAAGTCAATGTTATTGAGATATAATTATGCACAATGAAGTTCACACATTTAAGTGCACTGGGCAGCGACTTCCAACAAACGCTGCCGCTTATGTAGCCACCTTCTCCACCAAGACACAGAGCATTTCCATCTCTCCAGAAGTTTCCTCACACATCTTCCCAGCCAATTTTCCTACACCTAAATCCCATCCCTACTGACCACCACTGATTATTTTTGCCTGCTCTAGAATTTCACATAAATGGAATAATATGGTATGTACTCTTTTGTGTATGCTTTCTTTCACTCAGCCTAATATTTGTGAGATGCTCCAATGTTGTTGTGTGCAATTTGTTCCTTTATATTGCTAAGGATATACATTACGGTATACCACAATATATTTATCAATCCACTTGTCGATTGGCCTTTGGGTTGTTTACAGCTTCTGGCTGTTATGAATAAAGCTGCTACATACATTTGTGTTCAAGTCTTTTTGTAGCATGTATTTTTATTCTTATTGAATAAATACTCAGGAGTGGAATGGATGGGTATATAGAAAGTGTATGTTTAACTTGATAAGAAACTACCAAAGCATTGTCCAGTCTTTGCAGCATTTTTACTCTCCAACCAGCTTCACACGAGAGTTCTGGTTGCTCCATGTCCTTGTCAACACTTTGCACTTTCATTCTTTTTAGTGTTGATCATTCTAATGGATGTGAAATAGTCTCTCACTGTGGTTTAAATTTGCAGTTCCCTAAAGAATAATGATGTAAAGTATTTTTTCAGGTGGTTATTGGCTCTTC